GCCAGAGTGGTCTGCGTCCAGATTCCCTGTCAGCAGTTTGGGTAACCTCTTCAAGGATGGTGTGATAAGAACAGGAGTTAGGAATTGGCTAGGCAGTTAGGGTAAAAGACCCTAAAGAAAAGTAACCAGTTTCTTGGCTAAAACTCACAATGTCTTTGGGCCTCTTAACAACATACTCTGTTCCAAAGGCCAAAAATGTCAAAAGTATTTGGGAGCTTGTATCCAATCCTCAAAAGATTTTAGGGTTACCTCTTCAGAGGGGGGAATGTTGGAGGGGAGGAAGTGGACATGGATTGGATCGAAATACCTTATATGCATGTTTGAAATTCTCAATAAAGTTTTTGTAAAAATTAAAAAATACATATATTTAAACCCCTTAAATTTGCCTTTCAACTGTCATTTGAGGACATTTAAGTGAGCTGTGCCAAAAGTACACATCCAAATAACAAGAATCAAAGATAGTAGCAGTGTCTGTAGTCACAGCAAATCATTTCCCTAGTGCCGTCCACAACACATCCTACTCTGGAACCCATCCAGTGACAAAGAGCCCACTCTCTGCTTTTGCTTGCTCACCTAATTTTCCTTGTTTTCATAACTACTCCTCAGCAGTCATGTCTGCCATCCTGTTACTTTCTGCTGGATTCAGAGTAGTTAAGTCAAAGCACAATGGTTATGTCTTCGTTCAGCAAAGACTTGTTCAGCATCAAGCATGTGCCCAGGCACTGGGAATACTGGGGTACCTTCGAGTACTTGCAACCTTGTGGGAAATATGGATAGAAAATAAGTAAATATCATAGTATAATGTTAAGTAATATCATGCCAGAGTATAATAAGAGCCCTGGAGAAAACTCAAGCAGAAGAAGAGGACAGATGATGCTGGGGGAAAGTACGGAGGGGGTGTCCTTCTGAAAAGAGTTGAAGGAAAGCCCTAAAACCTTGAAATGAGCCTGCACTAGTCAGGGTTCTCTAAAGAAACATAACTAATTAAATGAATATATATATATATTGGGGGGGGTTAGATTGGCTTACAGAATAGAGTTCAGATAGTCCAACAAGGCTGTCTTCATACTGGAGAAGCTGAGAATCCAGTAGCTCTTCAGTCCACGAAGAACTGGCGCTGAAGGCCTGAAAGATTCCTGGAGGTCTTCAGTCTACACTGGAATCCGAAGAAGTTGGTTCTGCTATCAGCAGAGGAACACCACAGCGACAAGATGAAGTTTCCAGTGAGAGAGAAGGCAAGCAGGCAAGAAGCAAAGCTCCCTTCTGCCGTGGCCTTTTATATGAGCTGCTGTTACAAGGTAACACTCACATTTTTGGTGGGTCCTCAGGCTTCAGATAATCTGAGCAAAAACCGTCTCTCTCATTTCAGTTAATTCCAGATCCAGTCAAGTTGACAACCAAGATTAGCCATCACAGAGACCCCAAATGAATGTCTCATCCATGTGTTTGCTAAGTTAAACAAAATAATGTAAATATTGTTTTCAGTGACTAGACTTCTTCCAAAAATAAAATGATTAAAATTTGTCTGATTCCTTGATTGACAGATTAGATAAAAGATAAAACACTTCCCATGACCACATAGGATCATGCTTCATGTCTTCTAGAAAAATAAAATGATATAATAAAATTATCATCTCATTTTCTGATATAACCAAACACATCAAGATGTATCTGTCTTTTAAAGTGGTTAGAGAGTATTTGCTAAGAATTGAAATTGACATCCACGCAATTGTGAAGAATGACTACCAAGGTAATATTCCATAGTACAAATGTTTTTTCCTGTAAAAACCTCTACAACTAAACAGCTTGTAAGAGATTTGAATTACTGTTGAAGTCAATTTAATTTAAATAAAATCCATTTGTTCCTTTCTCAGAATACACATTTGAACATTTTTGTTTGTTTGAGACTGGGTCTCCCTATATAATCTAGGCTGACCTTGAACTCATAATTCTCCTGCCTCGTCTTCTGATTCCTAGAGTTACAGTGTGCCACCAGGCACAATATAAAAAGTTGAACGTATTTTTGGGAATTTTTATCATTATTTTAATTGTGCAAATTTATGGGAAACTGTTGTAATAATTTGTCATATGTATACAGTATGATGATCAAATCAAAATAGGTAGTGTCTCCTTAAACATTAAAAAATTTTTTCTGACTGACATATAACTACTTTGTATATTTATGAATCATACTGTGATATTTCAGTATGTTAGGCAATATGTACAGAACAAAACAGGGCAATTAATGTTTCCATCTTCTCATTGCTCTGTGTGGGAGCCTTTGACCCCATCCCCTTCTAGTTCTTTATCAAATGTGTGATGGGTTAAGGTGAACTACCCTCACTGTGCTATAGAGCACAAGGCCTGTATGCCTACCTGATTCTGTGCCTTATCTAACTTCCACTCTTTCCCCTTGCTCCAACACTCCCAGTCTCTAGTAATCACTATTATACTTTTTGATTGACTTTTCAACATCTGCATGTGAGAAAACATGCCTTTATTTATCTTTTTGCATCTGACTTATTTCTATTAACATACATCCTCCAGATCCATTGATTTTGTCACAAATGATAGGATAGCATTGCTCTTAACAACACATTTAATATACCCATTCATGGGCATAGCTGATGGGCATGAAGGTCTGATCCATGTCTTAGTGTAAATAGTGCACTGACAAATATGGGAGAGCAGGTGTCTCTTTGATATGTTGAAATTATTTTTTTTGGGGGGGTACATACCCACAAGGGACTAGCTGGGTCATGTGGTAGAGCTATTTTTAGTTTCTTGATGAACCTCCATACAGTTCTCTATAGTAGTTTTAATAATTACTTCACCAGCATTTATTACTTTTTGTCTTTTTAAAACCAACCATTCTAACTGTAGTGAGAAATCTCATTTTTTCAAAGATTTATTTTTTAACTTTATGTATATGAGTGTTTTGTATGCATGTACACCACATGTGTCCCTGGTGTCCTTAAAAGCCAGAAGAGGGTGTTGGATCCCCTGCAACTAGAGTTATAGATGGTTGTGAGCCTTCATGTGGATATGGAGAATCAAACTCTGGTCTTCTGCAAGACCAAAATGTCACTGTCTAAGCCATCTCTCCAGCTCCCTCTCATTGTGGTTTTTACTTGCATTTCCTTGGCAGCTAGTTATGTCGCGCGTTATTTTATGAATTTATTAGTCTGTTGAAATTCTTTTTTCAAAGAGTGTTTATTCATGCCCCACTTTTAGTTGGGTTATTTGACTTTTGGTTACTGAGTTTTTCAAGTTCCTTATATATTTTGGATACTAATTCCTCATCAGCTGACACTTACAAACACACTCTTCACTCATGAGTTGCTTAACTGGCTTCATTGTCTGGCTCTGTGGAAGCTTAGGAATCTGATACATCCCTCTTAATCTACTTTTACTTTATTTCCTTTGCTTTGGGGGTATCGTCCAAAAACCTGCTGCCTATACTGATATATTGAAGTATTTCTGCATGTTTTCTTCTAGTATGTTTCTTTCTTCCTCCCTTTTCTGATACCTGGGCTGTAGCCCAGGACTTCACCATGCTCTACAGTGTTCTTCCACTGACCTAAATCCTAGCATTTTCAGCCTCTACCAAAGTGGCAGTGACCCTGGCTCTGCCGTCCATCTTCTCTTCCTTCCTGATGTCTTTGCCCTGCTCTACCCTCTTCCGTTGCTTTCTGCTGACCATGGCCCAGCATGAGGTACTGCTGAATGGCTGCCTGAGGCTACATGGTTAGTCCCCAGCAAAGCATGGGAAGTCGGCCACTCCTCACCACTGCAGTGTCCCTGTTGCTGCTGCTGGACGTGCTGCCAGTGGCAGTGACCACTGGCATGGGAAGGCCTGGGGGCTGAACCAGGCCCTGCTGTTTCATAGCTTTGATCTGGCACTGTGCTCTGCTCTTGCCCTTCCAAGCTCTTCATGGTGGAGGGTCCTTCCCAGAGGTTCTCAAAACTGTTTGCACAATGACATCCTGTAACTTTTCCTTCTCTCTTCTGTGGAAGTGACATGTACGTAGATTGAAAGTCCTGACAGCAAGCACATCCTGATTTGGAGGTTTGTGATTTTATACAGGCACTCAAGTGGGACAAATTCAGTCTTCCCTGTTTGACACTCTCAAAAGGCTTTTGAACTATTAGAGGTGATATGGCTTCCATAGACTAGGGAGGGACTGGTCCCCAAGGCTTCTGGACTGTGTCACTCACATGCCATTTAATTCTGAGCATAGGTAGGATGAAGCCATATCAACAGTGACAGCACTACATGCTGTGTGCTGACACCCGCCTTGGTCCTTGGCCGGCACTTGCTCAGTTGGCTCATACCACCATGTCCTGGAATGTTACTGTAATTCTGCACCAGGTAGAGAAACCCCAAATAAAGATGTCAGTAACTACTCTGTTATTCCACATGCCAACGACTCTACAGATTAGGGTTCTTTCCTTGGCGGAAGGAGTAGCAAAGATAGCTAGTGTTACCCTTTGATTGATCCTCAGGTTGCTTGCAGGGTCTAATTTGTGTTTCTATTCTCTAAAACAGTTCGCCTCAAATTCACTATGTACCCAAGATTGACCTTGGATCCTCCTGTCTCCAACTCCCAAATGCTGGGACTACAGGCATGCCACTATACCTGACTTGAATTTTTTTAAATAAAAATCAATGCTAAACTCACCAACCACATTAATAATTTGTTATCTTTTATAACTTATCCCAGAACACTAAAAAATGTTGAAGCCCCCATTTTACTGTTTGTTTGTTTATTTTGGCTTCTGTGAGTCCACTTTATCTGTATTTTTTCTTTGTTTTGTTACAGAGTTTACCCCAGAATTATTTTTTTACCAGTCCAATCTAATAATAAGGTTATAAAACTAATCAGGTGTCTCATTTTCTTAAGCAAGCACTACTGCTATGATTTCTAACACCTCCCACCTGGTTGTTAAGAGAATGGCAAAGATGAATCTTTTAACTCTTCTGTGATTTGTCCCCATAGGATCTGATGAAGACAGCCTTGGACTTCAGCAAGCTGGAAAGGCTTGAGTTCAGTGGCATCCGAGGGAACGTCCTGAGTCAGCAGGTCCAGCAAATGCATGAGGAGTTTCAGGAGATGTACAAAGTCTTCTCGGAATGCTCCTACAACTGCTTGGACCCCCAGAGCACGGTAGGACTTGGAAGGGCTGAACTGCAAGCCTTGCCCCTTTCTCAGTTGCCCCTAGCGAAAGGCCTAAGAAATTATTCTTCCTTGTCTTTTAGAAAAACCCTATTCATTCCATGTGCAAGGAGAAAGATATAAAGGACCTTTTCCAACCACTAACTGCCCCAGAGTTATGACTAAATAACACCCAGGATTACGGCCCTGAGGAATCAGTGGAAGCAGTGGCCATCCTATGGCATCAAAAGTTTAAACTGAGTAAAATAGACAGTGGCAGAAAGACAAATACTGTATGACCTCATTTGTACATGGAATCTCAGTCAAATTGTCCAATTCATAGAAACAGACTAGAATAGACCTTGTCACTGGGTTAGAGGGAGGGGAAATCAGGGAGGAGTTGGCCAAGGGATACAAAGTTTCATTTATGCAGAATAAATGATTTCTACAAATCTAGTGAACAATATGATCAGAATAGTTAACAATACTATATTGTGTGCTTGGAATTTGCTAATAAGGTAGATTTTAAGGGCACACACACACAGTGAAGAAAATGTTAGCTCTATGAGGTGGTGGGTATGTCAATTCCCTCCATTGCTTTGATCATTCATTGGTGGGGACATATATCAAAACAGTATTCTGTATTTTAAACATACACAGTTTTACCAATTATACCTCAGTAAGGTTGGAAAGACATTTTAAGCTTCTCACACAGATCGCTAAGGGCAGGCACACTGGTAGTTTATTAGTAGCTCTAGGAAGGATAGGGGAAGCCTATTGAAGTATAGGCTAGAATACATTTTCCAAGGTTGGGACACAGAGACCAGGTCTCACTCAAGAGTCTCCCCAAAGCCAAGACCTGTGAGCTCAAAAGCACCAGAGAAAAATAAACTGCTACCATGGAAAGAAGGGATAGAATCTCCTGAAAAAAAAAGAGGTAGAATTACAGAAGAAGAAATACAGAAAGGAAAAGAATAAAATCAGGGCAGGAATCTGTTCTGAGCACTTTCAAGAACCAGGGAGATCTTAGTTGGTGGGGTCACCACCTTCTAAAACTTCTATTAGTTGAAAGTAGAAAAGGAAAAAAGGAAGATGGATTACAAAACAAGATATGTATTATATAGAGCAATATATAGTATGTGTATGTATAATGTGTTTGCAACCATATAATAAAACAAAGTCCCATGGACTGGTATAATACATATATTAGAAAATACACCACGACACCCAATGTCAATGTAGTTGGAAAGTAGAACTGTACTGGTTTGCTACTTTACCTTTTATTTAAAAATTTATTTTATTTTTTATTTTGTGTGTATGCGTGTATTGCCTGCATGTAGGTAAGTGCACCCGTGTCCTGCAGCCTGCAGAGGTCAGAAGAGACTGTTGGATCCCCTGGGACTAGAGTTACGGACAGTTGTTAGCTGCCATGTGGGTGCTGGGATTCAAACCTGGGTCTTCTGCTAGAACAACCAGTGTTCTCAACTGCTGAGCCATCCCTCCAGCCCCTTTATTTTATCTTTTAAAATAAAAATATGTGGGGGCTAGAGAGATGGCTCAGTTGTCAAGAGCAAGCACTGGCTGCTCTTCCATAGGACCTGAGTTTGGTTCCCAGCACCCACGTCAGAGAGTTCACAACCCACTGTAACTCCAGCACCAGGGGATCCTATGCCCTCTTCTGGTCTCTGCAGGCACCTGCACTCATGTGTACACATACAGACACATATACACATAAATAAAAATAAGTAAATATTTTAAAAGTAAATAAAGAACATGCATTACTATTGTAAAACAATAATAACAAATAGTAATTGCACAAATTACAGAGTTAACAAAGTTTTCCTGAACATTGCTACATTCTGAGTAGAGGGTTGCCAGATAAAGTACAATAATTAAAACATACTTTTATATTTTAAAAAATCATTGTTTATCTGCAACTCAGATTTAACTGGATACACTGTGCTTTTATTTGCTAGATTTAGCAAGCTTAGGAACAAACTCTAATTGCTGTCTTAACCAAGTAAGGTGTTTTTGAAAGTAATAGTGTATATTCACTTAATTAGTTTACTTTCCTCCAAAGGATTAGATTAGTTTGGCTATACTGAAAAGAATTGGATATTTACTTGGGGGAGGAAGGCAAATAGGTAGTAATTCTAGGACTGTTGCTGCTGAGATAGATTTGGAGGGTATGAGCTGACTCTGTGATGTAGAAGAGAGGGGCACAGAAAGGGAGGTGAAGGGAGGCCAACTCTATGTTTGACTCACGCTGCCATTTTTCCCAGAGTGCTATACTTTCATGGTGTGGTTTAGAGAATTAAAATAAATCTTTGTATGACTGATTCAAATATAAAGGTTCATAGCCCAGTACAGTAGGTTTGGCTTTCAGGAAAATCATGATTTTCTTATGTACATGTGATGATGTTTCCTTAGGAATTTGAAAATGACATCTCTGAATTTAACCAGAAAGTAGAAGACCTTGATCGTAGACTGGGGACTATCTTGATTCAAGCTTTTGATGATATACCTGATGTAGAGCATGCATTTAAGGTTGGTACAATGGGGCAGGTTCCCCTCCTGTGTCGTTCCCCTCCCCCGCCCTTAGTGCTTGTGAAAGGATGGCAGGTATATTCTCCTATTTTCTTCCTGAAAGTGTCCTAGGGTGGGGGAATTGGTGCAGAATTGGGCTTTTCAGGAAGATCACTCATGCTCTTCTGAGAGTATAAAAATGCTTTAAAAACAACAGTGCTCTTTTTAGGCACCAATCCTCTATAAGAGAGTCCCCATTAGGAGTAAGAAAGCCTACTGTGGTTACTATTCCAGAACCACAGCAGTACCAAGGCTGTTTAGCCACTGAAGCTGGGTTGACTCATCCTAGAGCAAAGCACTTGCAAAGATATGGCTTACAGGATCCAGTGAGTGGAATGGAATGACTGGTGCTCTAACTCACCCACATCAGCTGGTAGGAAGTGTATAGAGGGAAGGCTTGGGACAATAAGGTGTAAGCAGCTGCACAGTTGGGAATGCTGGGTAGTGAGACTCGGGTACTGGAAAATATGACAGGTCTCCTGAATACTGCGTGGAGGAGTAACGCCTTAAGGATTTGAGTCAGGAGAAAGCTACCAGGAGGGACATGTTGATTCAATAGAGAAAAGAGATTTATGTTGAAGCTGTTCAAGATGAAATGGACTTTCTTGACAAGTACTTAAGTTTCCAGTCACTGAAAATGTCCAAACAGAGACTAAATGACTTGTAGGATAATTGTAAAAGAGACTTAAACCCTAGATGGGCAAATCTATGCTATTCTAGAATATTAAATAGTCCAAGTGTGCCAGGTTCCATTTGCTATTGTGTGTATGTATAAAATGTTTAATAACCACCTGCTGTTTCATAACTCACTTACTAAGACTTCAGGATTCCCTCTTCAAACATGTGTACTAATTCCAAGGAAAGGGTTTCCACGTGTCCACAGAATGGTCCTATGTACCTCTAACTTTCATGGTTGAGTGGGACTCACCACCCAGATGATTTGTGATGCTCCAACTCTGTACTAGTTTGCTTTTTCTATTGTTGTGATAAAAACCAGAACCAAAAGCAACTTCTATTAGAAAGAGTTTTCTTATCTTATATTTCCAAGTAATAGCTCATCACTGAGGGAAGCCAGAGTAGGAACTCAAGGCAGGTACCTGGAGGCAGGAACTGAAGCAGAGACCATGGAGAAATGCTGCAGAGTGACTTCCTCCCAAGCTCACATTCAGATATCTTTCCTATATAGCCCAGGCCCACCTGCCTAGAGATGATATCCTTACAGTAGGCTGGGTCCTCCTACATCAATTGTCAATCAAGAAAATCACCCCTTCACATACCCACAGACCACTCTGATGGTGGCAGTCCTTCTATTGAGGTTCCCTCTTCCCAGGTATGTCAAGTTGACAATTAAGATTAGCCATCACAAACCCTGTTTATGTGCTGAGATTGCCCAACTACCATCCTAGGAATCTCTCTAGGCATCTATGATTCTGAGGATGCTTATGCATCATGACATCTTCATCACTCTGCCTTTGAAATGACTGCATGTCGTTGCTTGTGTCAAGTTGACAACTAAAGCTATCTAACACATATAGCTTGGATGTTGTGGCCAGGGTTTATTGAAGCTAAAGATCCTGAGTCAGCTGTGCAAGCTGGCCACACTGGTCCATCAGTCCCCAGTCTTAGTATTCTCAACAGGAGATTTGAGCCACAGAACACAGTGAAGAATACTTCTCTTACACCTCCATCAGAGAGGATCTACTTTCTCAGGCTGGGGGAACTAGCTCAGTTAGTAAAGTGTTTCTTTTGTAAGTACAAGGACCTGAGTTCAAGCCCCAGAGTCCACATTAATTCTAAAAAAGCATTGTGATGTGGGCTTGCAATCCTAGTGCTGAGCAGGCAGAGACAAGTGGATCCCTAGGGCTCACTGGCCAGCCAGCCTAGCCCACTTGGCAAATTCCAGTCCAATGAGACATTTTAAAGTCTGTCTCAAAAAAATGGTGGACAGCACCTAGGAAATATCATCTGAGGTTGTCCTCTGGCCTCCACATGCATACACAAACACATAGATGCACACTTGCACACACACATACAGAAATGCACACATAGACACATATTACACATATAAGCACACACACACACACACACACACACACACACACACACACACAAAAGAGGAGCTACTTCCTATTAGGCATCTGGGTGATGTTACTGAGGAAATCTGCCCCTACAGTGTTCCATGGAGAATACTCAGCACTTTCATCTAATCTCAACATGTGCCTACAATCATTAAGGAAAAACTTCCAGCTGCCTGTCCTGGGAAACCCCCCGGCCCCATGTAGGCTGTACCTCCACCTACTGCCTGTTCTCTGTACTTAGCCATTCCCCATGACATGGCCTGGAGACCCAGAACTTCCAGAACCATCTCAAATTCTGAGCCTCTGAGCTGGTGACAGAAAGAGCCTGAGGTTCAGACACATAGGGCCTACTGGCTTCCAGATTTAGGATATATGGATATAATCGTGGCACTTTGCCTTTCATGCTCATTGACTTAAAGCAAGAAATGGCAATTTTTTTTCTTCAAAGACTCACAGAATAAATATTTAGACCATGTGCATATATGTTCTCTGTCACAAATTCTTCTTTATTATTTTTTAAAGCCCTTTTGGAAAATATTCCCTACACCAAGGTCGTGGACTAACTTCAGCCATGCACTGGTCAGGTTTTGTTAACCTCTGACTTGAAGGGACTACAGTGAGAGGTTATAATGGAAGCAGGTTTAGAAGCAGGGTGTTGGTGTATCCTAATGCAATGAAGGCCTGTGTGGCCGCGCCTCAGGCAGCATCACAATCAATGAAACACAATCCAGGAAGAAAGAAGTCATTTATTCTCTCTCTCTCTCTCTCTCTCTCTCTCTCTCTCTCTCTCTCTCTCTCTCTCTTCTTTTGTGAGTATATTTTACCTGCATGTATATAAGTACACCACGTGCATGCAATGCCCATGGAGGCCAGAAAAGGGCATTGGATCCCTCAGAACTGAATTTATGGAAGATTATAGCCACCATGTAGGTGCTGGGAACTGAACCCAGGTCCTCTGGAAGAGCAGCAAATGCTCTTAACTGCTGAGTCATCTCTCCATCCCCCAAGAAAGTCATTAAATGGATTCCATGATTCTGGAAAGTCATTAAATGGATTCTGCTGATTAAGGGCTAGGGCAGATTTAATGTCCAAGAAAATAGTCAAATTGTCCACCGTCCCTTTGTCAGGGCAGCTGCTTCCTGAAACTCTTTTCTTAACCCCATTCTCAAATTCCAGCCCTCATTTGAATTCTCCCAACTGCACCACTTCACCTCTTTCATTCTACCTCATTGATCAGCACCTTCCTCTGTGTCATGTCTTTATTATATAGCTCAGTACTCCTTGCTGGCATCTTTAGTTTTCTTTTTATTTAGATCCCTACCGCAGAAGAAAACCTGGTAACCCAGCAGAGTGAAGGAGAAACTAGGTATGTTGGTACACACATGGAATCCCAGGAAGACAGAGGCAGGAGGATCAAGCCTAGGCTACACAGTGAGAACTGATCTCATAAAACCAACACCCACCCCATCTCTATAAAACAACTAAGAAGCAAAGAAAGGAGGGAAGGAAAAGATTACAAATGTCTGCACTCTATGTTAATTGCTGGAGTTCTGCCATAACGAATGGCCATCCATCTTGTATTGCATGCCTAGTAGGGAAAACCAGGAAATGGGATTTCTGTAACCTTGGAAAGGTTAATGTGTGTCCTGATTCTCTGCCCTCTCTACAGCTGCTAGACATAGCAGGAAACCTTCTTGAAAGACCCCTGGTAGCACAGGATACATCACATAAATACCTGGTCCTCATCCAAATGTTCAGCAGAGACCTGGATGCCGTGAGGATCATCTACAGTCAGCACATCCGGGATGAGGCAGAACATGGTAGGCAGGTTGCCAAGAGACTACAAGGAGCAGGTTCTGTTACTGGGTAGGGCAGAATGCACATATCTCCTGCTTGTTTGTTAAGGATCGAGATGTGGATCCATGACATTCTCCAACAACAACAAGAACTGTCTTTTGTGCTTGGGTGATTGTAGAGTTCGTTAAATGTATTTCCTTGTGTCTGGGGCTCAGATTACCAGGGTGACCCAGACCTGTGTAATCTTGATCATCACTGGTCAATCGTGGCCTTGGCATGAATGAGTTGACTGAATCATGTTGCCACACTAATTAATCAGCAATCACAATTAATCACATAGATTTTTACATGCCTGAGTAAAGTTCCCACCCGTTCCACTGCCATAACAATTGTGCTTCTTGGAGAGGAACCAGCTGCAACCTGACAAAGGACAGTCTCTTTGCAGAGGTGTGACATCTCTAGTTTTTATTAGTTGGATGCTCTGTCTTTGGTGTTTGAAAATCAAACACAAGTTTATTTCAGTTTCACATGCATTTCTTGAGTCTTTGCTATATGCAAAGCTCATTTATGAGTGCTGTATATAATTGGAGGATCTGAGTAAGAGATAACAATAAACACTGAAAGTGATTGGTCACAGCACATGAGCCACACTTCACTCCGGTTAAGAAGAGTAGTAACAAAAGGACTGTGCTGATAAGTTCCAAGGTGGGTTGATGGATAAGATGGTGTTGAGCTGAGCCCTGAAAGTTGAGGGACTGACAGCAAAGGAGAGACAAAAGCCTCAGAGCCAAAGACATAGGGAAATGTGGGCAATGACCAGCTAGAACTGTTTGTGACCATGAAGACACATGGTTTTCCCATGTGACATATGGAAAGTGAGATCAGGTCCACCATGGAGCATGGGGTCAGAGTGAAAAGAGCTCTGAACACCATGTTAAGAAATCAGGAAATCATTATTCAAGCAACGGGAATTAAAATTGTAAAGATAGCTGAGTTACAGGACCACTGTGATTATAGTTTCATAACAGTCATTAAGACATCCTCTGAGGAAGTCATTCTCATGAAAGCTGTTAGTTAAACTTTATGAGACTGTCCTCACAATAATTTTGAGTTTTGGGCATAGGATCTCACTAGGTAGCGCAAGTTGGCCTTGAACTCACAGTCCCCCCTGCTTCTGTCTCCCAACTGCCAGATTACAGGTATATCAACATGCCTGGCTCATCTTTATGACTTCTTACATGCAAACATCTTCAGGTGCTGTATTTTCTGTTTCTTTCCTTTTTTTCCTTTTCTGAGGCAGGGTCTCATGTAGCCAAGGCTGGCCTTGTATTCCTGTTCCTCCTGCTTCCACCTCCCCAGTGCTGGATTGCAGATTTGCATCATCGTGCCCCATTTTGCCATGCTGCTTTTCTACTGCTGTATAGCAAATGTTCACAAGCATGGTGACTTATGGCAATCTTTCAACTCACAGTTCTGAGGACAAAAGTCCAGCATGGTGTGTTTGCAACCTCAGTTCAGTAGCACAAGGCTAAAACTGGTGTCAGCCAGGGCAAGTTCACTTCTTGAGATTCTAATGGAAAAATTAATTTCCAAGCTCATACTTGTTGGTAAATTTGGAACAGCTATGGTCTCCAGGGCTTTGCTGGCCACTAACCAGGAGCCTCATCCAGTGACTAGAAGCCACCCCATTCCTTAGGCATGTAGCTTCCTCTGTCTTCAGGCTAGCAATTGTACATTCAGTCCCTAATGCTTACAAGCAATGGCTTCCTCTTCTGCCACCAGCTGGTGCTCTGCTTTTAAACTACTCTCTGATAAGACCAGGCCCACTTAGGATGCGCTCTAGTCAGCTGTGTGAAGCATGACTACTTTCTCTAGCCACAGTTTCTACTCACGTTTAAAGAGCAGAGGTTTATGCAAGGGTGGAGGTCAGTAAGGTCATCTTAGAATTTTTATCGTCAGGAGAAAAAACAAGATGAAACTAATGGACTTGGACTAAGCATGAGACACCGGGGATCAAGGAGCTTGTGGTGCAGTAAACAAGGTGTCTCCTCCAGTTACCATCCCTGAGAGGTTTGTTTTGTTTTTAGGTGTAATCTTCCATTTGCAAGAGCTTGAAAATTGTTTATAAATAAAAAATTGAATGTATAGACTGAAGTAATAATGTCCAGGTGCTTCACAATTCTCATGACTTGTCCCATTCATAACCTGATTGAATTCTCAGTGAAGCCACTGAGAGTCATTAAGGAAGGGAGATATCATTCCCATCTTACAGAGGAGAAAACCGAGGCCCAGAGAAATGAAGTTGTCTGTTTGAGGCATTTTTCTCAACCCTTACTAAACAAGTAAAATCCTCTTGATCACTTCTAAAATGTATCTCTGACTGACCCAATCATGGTGGCACACACCGTTAATCCCAGCACTCTGGAGTTAGAGGCAGGTGGATCTCTGTGAGATTGAGGTCAACCTATTCTACATAGCCAGTTCCAGGCCATTTGGGGCTCTAGGGAGCCCCTCTGAAGCAAAAACAAAACAAAAAAAACCCTATGACCAATCCAATCAGAACAATTAGGCAGGGGCCCCAAGTCCTCTGAGCGTTGTGTTCTCCCAAGGTCTCTATAGTAGAGCACATGACTCAACATGTGTCCAGGGTGACTTCAATCTGGAGGTAGATACAGCAACATTGGAGTAACTGAAGGAGGCTCTCATGGGGTAGAGGAGCCTGATGTTGTACCCTCTTCAGTATGGCTGTTCATGTCTCCAGGATTCTCCCCTGTGCACAAGAACATGCCCGCCATGGCTGGAGGCATCCGCTGGGCACAGGAGCTGAGGCAGCGCATCAAGGGTCCTTTCAGCAGCATCACACACATCACACATCCGTGAGTATCTGAGTCATGAAAGGCACCTGCCTGACATATGAAAAACATTTGTCTATCTTTCTGTGTTCAGCCAGGAACTAGATTTCCATCACTCAAATGGGTAATGACAGTATATCTGGGCTGAGGTATGGGTCTGTATTAGTTACTTTTCTTTTGCTGGGATAAAACCCCATGAACTTAGAGAAGCAACTTAGAGAAGGAAGAGTTTATTTGGCTTATGGCTCTAAAAGGAGGAGTCCGTTATGGTGGAGCAAACATGGCAAGAGGCAGCCAGTGTAGAAAGCTGAGCACTCATATCTTCAAGCAGGTACAGAAAGCAGAGAAAGAAAACTGGGAACAGGACGTGGCTATCTACTCTGAAAACCCCCTAGTGACGCGCTTCCTCTAGCATGACCACACCTCCTAAAGGTTCCATGACCTTCTCTAACCAGTGCCACCAAATGAAGGACATTCTCATTCAAATCACCATAGGGGCCTTCAGTGTCTACCAAGGCTTAGCTGTCCACATGTAGGCTCCTCCTCCGTGGAAATGGGGTTCATTTCTGGGGAGAAAGCTGATCAGAGGTTTCATGCACTGGGGAGAGGCCTTCAACATTTCTCTCTTGGAAAAAAAAAATCTTTTCCACTGGGGCTACTGGGAAATAAGTATTTTCCGAGTGTGGTGTGAAAGTCTCATGTTAGAACACCTTGAATACCTGTTAAGAGATCTGCCTCCTGGCCTCACCTCTCTCCCATTAAATCTGAATCTGAGCTGGGACTCTGCTTCTTTGACAACCTCCTTTGGTGACTCTGACGGTAACCAGGTTAGGAAATCATGAGCCTGCTTCGTAGAAGGGCCTAGAAGCCGAGATACTGGGAGGCCTCTCAGCCGCTACCTGAGTGAAAAGACACTGTGTCTAGGATGCTCACTGCCTCCGGACAGGTAGTCTTCCGCTGATCCCTCTTTAGAAGATTTGATTTGTTCAAAGCACTTGGGTTTGACAAATGCAATGGAAGCTGGCCGTTGGCATCACAGTTCTTTTGGAGTTAGTAGTGTCTGCTAAGACCCTTAGGCTCAGGTAACAAGATAAAATTGCTTTCACGATCAGAAAGCACAAGAAATAGTGAAGTGAATAACGTGAGACAGTGGGATTGAGTCTGCAGGGATCAGCCACCACTTTACCTCAGGGTCACCAGCCACATAAGCAGCCCTGCCATGAGCAGTCTCCTTCTTAGAGAGAGGCTAGAACTCTAGAGTTTAAAGTTGGATGCCCAACTTTAAAATGATTTAAGGATTCCATTTTCCCCAAACCCTGCAGAGATCTAGCACAGCATGGCTATGACTAATGTCTTCCCAGGATCTGACCATTCTCATCCTGCTCGGGGTGAGCTTTTGATTCTGCAGATGAAGAAACCAGGCAGAGAGGAAGGAGGTGACTCACCTCAGACCCCAGAGCAAGCCAAGGAAAGAACTGGGAGAAGCTCAGTGCTCTCTCCATGCATCCCCAGCCATAGAGAGTTTGGCTAGCACTAGACCTGAGCCCCCTGGCTTCTCAGACAGATCCCTTAAAGCAAAATAAAGAGGACATGAGGTGGAGAGGTGGGGCATCAAGGCTGTTTCCAGGAATAGGGACTACATAGCTGCCATAGGTCTTGTCCCAGGCAGTAAACTCTGAGACACGGGTGCAGGAACTGCAAAAGATGCTCTCGGGAGCAGCAGCCATGAGGAGCGGAGGGAAAGGAGCTGGGGAATGGAGGAGAAGCTGAGCTGCTGGTTGGCTGCTGCAGAGGCTTCAGTGGATCCTGCAGGGATCACTACTTCTCAGAGCTGCTGGCCTTTGTGCTGCCACCTCAGCAAGGTCACAAAGGGCAAGGTGAGGCTGGCACTTCAACTTCATCCACAGCCAACACAACTGGTTAGACAGGTCTGGGATAAGAGGGTTGCTTATGGCATAAAGTGCCTGATCCCAAAAAAGGGTACAATAAAGACTTGATAACCTGTACAATGAGAAAGTTTCCTTCTGTTTTCAAAAGGAATTTTGATGTGTATTGTACTCTATGATACACATTTGTTAGTTAATAGAAATGTATCTATAAAAATGCTGTAGATGCCTCACCATGAAGTGAAATGGAAGCCACAAGGAGTCTCACTCTGCTGGTTCCTGTGACCTCTCAAAGCCTCTGTGACATGGTCTGGCACACACACCATGTGGCAAGTCTAGCTCTCCTCTGCCTCAGTCTCTCCAGATCCGAATCTGAGATGTGGGCATTTCAAGGCCTGTGGGGATTCTGCAGCTTGTGAGGGAGTGCCAGGTGTGAGCCTCCCAGGCCAGCCCTGCCTGCGGCTTGTTTCCTGGCCATGCAGCTGCTCATTCAGCATAAAAGGGAATGAAGCAATCTGGTGCCTTCTCTGCAGGCAGGAGGGATTTTGAGGAATGCTCAAGGGATCCTATGCAAAACCTGTGCTGGAGTTAATGGATGTTAAAGTCTTAGGAATAAGCTGCCTCATTTTGCTAGCAGGAAAAAAACAAAAGCAGACTCCACAGAGTTAGTGTGAAAATCTCTTGAAAATTAAAGATGTGTCGCCCATTTTCCCAGGAGCTGGACATTCATTTAGTGCTGCAGCCAGTGTCAAAAGCAGAGGAAACAGTTGTCAGTAAACAGTGCTGCCAGCCAGACTCTGCCCTGGTCCCTCAGCCTCGGAAAGCTTGTGCAAGTGCATGGTATATGTTGATGCATTTCTATGTGCGGGTGCACATGTGTATGCACACATTTTAGGGGGTGAGGTGGGGGGGACCTTCATTACACATTAAGGAGTCGCCATGAGGATTTCAGAAATCTTTCTATCTATACCTATGTGGAGAAAGAGAAGCTCTCTCATCATCTATCATCTATCTATTGTTATATATGAACACTATTTATATATAAACATATAATCACATATATACATGTGTGTAATGTTATATAGATATTTTTTCTTACTCATAGAAAAAAATCACCTAGAATTTTTCTTCACTTTATCAACTTTCTTTTGACTCATATTTTGAAGTATGTCATTTACCTTGTACATGACCAGCTCAGTCACAAGAGCCAGAGGCAGGAAAGAGTACTCCACCCGTTTCTGGTGGAATTGCCTGGATTTTTTAGGAAGTACAGATGCCCCCTTGTGGCCTGAAGAAGATGTTCAGAAAAAAAGAAGGCACTCTATTTTAGAGCCCTTGGGCAACTAGCCAAAGAACCCTTCTGTTCCATCGCTCTCTTTTGTTTTTGTTGTTATTGTTTTCTTTATTTAAGCAGACAGAATCCTTTTATGTTCCCCAGACTGACCTATGAGGATTCATGATCCTCCTGTCTCGGTCTCGCAAGTTTCTTTATAGGCTGCAGTTGATACTTTAGAGCATAATTTTGGCTTCTAATTGAATGTAATGTTTTTTCTTTCTGTATCTCTTGAACTGATAGGTGTATGCAATCTGCTGAAGGAAAAAGAATGATACAAAAATATGAAGATTTGCTGTCACTGTTGGAGAAGTAAGCAGTTTCTGGGATTGCATCATCCTGCAAATCCCCCACCCCATGCCTTTTGCTGTTCAGAGTGCAGATTCCTTAGCAGCTCTGAAATGTCACCCTGTGGTTTATGTTATAGATGTGATATTTGAGAGTACAGTATTTCTGTGTTGCCTGTATAAGTCTCTGGGGGAATGCAGCTCTACTCTGGACACAAATGTGTGCCCAATGTCATTTTCCTGAGATTGCAAACCCTCCTTGCAGAGAGGAGTGGGAAGCAGTACATGGCACTCTGAGATGAGAGTCCTGGAATTGCAGTTGCTGTTCACTGAGCAAAAAGCTATTGTTTATGGCAAGGAGAGGAAGTAAGCCTCAAAAATGCCCTGCATCCTTTTATGAAGAAAGCATGAGAATAAAAATTTCATGGGGGCATAGTTGTTCTTGTCTTAAAGCTCAGCAAGTCATTTAAGGGTGCAGGGTGGAAAGGCAGCCTCATGGTCTTGCCTTCCAGCCTGTCACAACCCTTTCTCTTGATTCCAGAGAGCACGGTAGCAGGAATGATAGCTCCAGTTCTTTTGAACATGTTTATTTATTTATTTATTTATTCGTATTTTATGTGTATTTATGTGTGTAAGTGTCTTGCAATGCCTTAGAGATCAGAAGAGGGCATTGGATCCCCTGGAACTGGAGTTATGGACAGTTGTTAGCCACCATGTGGGTGTTGGTAATCGAACCTGGTCCTCTGCAAGAGCAACTAGTGCTCTTAACCTCTGAGCCATCTCTCCAGCCCCAGATACCTCCAATTCTGGTACTACTTAGTGCTGGGTTAGACAAATCCATTGGTACCACCTCCACCTGCCAGGAACCCACAACTCTAGCCTTCTACTTCTCAGATATCGTAAGTGTATCTTCCCTTCCTCATCCCCATCACTGGTCTCTTCTCAGGAGAGTGGAACTGCTCTGTCCTAAACTGCCACAGTGGCTTCTTGACAGCTCTCCCTGCCTCCATCTTCCTGCCCCTTTATGCTCATGTAATTCAACAGTGTCACAACACCTTTACCAGACCAAAACCTCTCAGAGATTCCCATTGTTCTCCAAAAGTCTTGCTTCCCCCTCTCCACCTCCTGCCTCAGATACACCATCCACTTTCTGATCCCAGCTCAGTCAGGCTGTTTCTGGCCTTGACAGCTCACCATGCATCTAATATGGGGATTCTCCCTCCTCTCCCCTGGAACACACACCATCCCACCTCTGCTCATCCCACCTCTTGAGATTTGGTCAAGAATTGCTCCATCATCTCCCCCATGAGCCTTCCCTGAACTCCTTACCCTTCTTCAGCCTCTTGCCTTTCCAATCAGATGCCTGACACCCTCTACAACTCTCTAAGATGGTTTTAGCTGCACTGTATCGTGGTGATCAATCTGTGATCCCCACCATTTGTTGTATTTATCACAAGTTACTTATTCATTGATTTATTCCCTAAGCTCAGCATATGGAATGTGTCCAGTCAATGTATACTGACTGAATAACAAATTCCATGAGCTCCTTGAAGGTTAGTGTGAGATCAACTGTTACCAATGACTCCTCTCATCATCTCTGGAGCCAATTATGACTTTCCAGATCACTCCAAAAGATCACATGGTATCTATTTTCCTGTATTCTAATTAGTTTTCCTGTTATGGTGATAAAACACTGACAAAAAACAACATGGGTTTATTTGGTTTACATATTAGGATCACAGTTCATCCTTAAGAGAAGTCGGGGAAGGAACATCAGTGTGGGAACCCGGAGGCAGAAGTTGAAGCAGAGACCATGGAGGAGCCCTGCTTATTAGCTTGCTCCTCCAGCCTATGTTCAGCCTGCTTTCTTTTTATAGATTGTTTTATTATTACTTTTATGTGTATGAGTATATTGCCTGTATGTATGTAAATGCACGATGTCATGCAGTACCTGTGGAGGTCAGAGGAGGATGGTGGATCCCATGGAACTGGAGTTATAGACCATTGTTAGCCACCATGTGGGAGCTGGGAACCAAACCAAGGTTTTCTGTAAGAAAAGTCAGTGCTTTTAACCACTGAGCCATCTCTTCAGCCCTAAAGTCTGCTTTCTTATACAACCCAAGACCAGGTTGGCACCCAGGGGTGGTACCCCACACACAATGACCTGAACCCTTCCACATCACTCAACAATCAGGAAACTGTCTCGCAGTCATGTCCACAGGCCACTCCAAGAGAGGAAATTCCAAATTGAGGTTCTCTCTTCCAAGATGTGTCAAATAGACAACTAAAATCAACCGTGCCATCCTTTGATAGAAGTGGTGGCACCTTTAAAAATTAGGAGTCACTTGCAGGTGCTGGCCTGGCCTGCCAGAGACTCATTGTTTTTCCAGCTTGCCTTCGGGAGCACTGTCAGGAGCTAGAGAATTTGCAGGGCATTTATGAGGTGTCTATTGTCTCTGATTGCTACAGGTATGAGACAGGACTTTATGAGGACTGGTGTCAGACAGTGTCAGAGAAGTCACAGTTCAATCTCTCCCTGCCACTTCTTCAGCGTGACCCCAACACAAAGCAGATCTCTGTCAACTTTAACCCACAGGTTAGTTGGGTGACAGTAACTTCCTTTGAAGCATTTCATTTAACTCTGCTAATTTCAAAGGTTAAAAGGCTTTTAAAAAGAATTTTCAGTCTACTCAACCTACATTTCTTTGGGAGGATGAGTCATAGGTTGTGATATTTTCCTAAGTTATCCATGTTCATGATCTTTCTCCAGGATTGAGCAATATATTTGATTTGTGCAACAGGAAATCAGACATGTGTTGCTTAATGACAGGGATGCTCCCTCGGATATACTTGGCTAAACGGCTTTGTCACGATGCAAGCATCACAAAGTATGTTTATGCAAGAGAAGACAGTTATGATGTCACTTGATAATATTATCCTATGGGACTGTGGTTGTATTTGCTGCATGCTCATTACCAAGCCATTGTACATGGCACATGAGTACATGGTAAAGTATTTCTGATCATTTAGTAGCAATTTTTCACATCCTACCCTGAATACATTCTTCATGTGACAGCTTCAGATGACATATTGGAGGTGTCAGTGAGGTATAATAGGGCTTGGTTCTTGTCCTTAAGGAACTTGTAGTCTCCTTGAAAATCAGAGCCTCAACAGGCGAAAATCTATCTTTACTAGACAGCATATGATAAATACCAAAGGGATGGCTTTGGGAAAAGACAAGAGGAACAGTTCTCAGCTGAGGCTTTTCCTGCCTCCAGGTTACTCAGGTGGGTGATCTCCCTCCATCAGGCCCATCCCCTCCATGTGGTTGACTGGCAGCCTAGCCAGTCTCTCAGCAGTGTCATGCTCTGAGCACAGGAAGCAGAGTCCTCTCCTCTACTGAAGATGGCTCACTTCTTACAATCCCTTCTTCTGCTCTGTCCTTTCACACATCTGGTAACCTTGCTACTCTTTTATTTATCGTCCTTCTGCTGAATAGTCATTCTTCTCTGAAACTAGACTTAAGGAACTGATGAGAGCAGAGGTTATAAAAAGACCCAAGGCTTTGGTGCCCTAGGTTCTTGAGTCCTTTGTGGGTGCAGTAGCTTTGTCACGGTCCCTGAACAAGAGGAACAAGAGCCACTTGTGTTTTGTTCTTTCCTTCCAGCTGATTTCAGTGCTGAAAGAAATGAGCTACCTAGAGCCCAGCGAGATGAAGCACATCCCCGAGGCTGCAGCAGCCCTGTTTTCCTCCAGGGAATTCTATCGGCAGCTTGTGGCCAACTTGGAGTTGATGGCCAATTGGTACAACAAGGTTATGAAAACTCTGCTCGAGGTGGAATTTCCGTTAGTGGAGGAAGAACTACACAATATTGATCTGCGCTTGAGAGCTGCAGAGGAGACTCTGAATTGGAAAACAGAAGGTAACAGGTACCCCCTGTGGTCTGAAGGAAACCTGGAGATTCAAAGAGCTAATAAAAGTTAACAGACCGTGATTATTCACCAATAATCTGATTTGGGTTGGAAACACAGATCTAGCTTCTCCTCAGACACATATCCAAGTCAGGAAACAAGGAGGATTGTTAGTCCTCCTCCTCCTCCTCTTGGGATGTGATTTGTCATTTTAGAAACTTTTGCAGTCTGCACTTTTGGGGACTCAGAGATTGCAGAAGATACCTCCTAAAATGATTTGCCATTTTAGAAACTTTTGCAGTCTGCACTTTTGGGGACTCAGCAATTGCAGAAGATAGTCTCTAGCATACGCTGAACATGTCATGAATGAGCTCACCGTTTGGTTTTCTTAACTGGATTATAGACATGGTAAAGAAAGAAACTGTACATTTACTTTCCTGGTATCTTGCAATTCAATTCAGCAAACTTTTATTAGCTATTTAACATAAGCATGTGAGGGACTCCAGGAACAAGATGAGACACATATTATATGGGACATGTTCTCTACTGTCAAAGAGCTCACATTTAGTAAGGACAACAGGTATATGTACAACCCAAATCACGTAAGTAGCCATGATTAAAAAAATCAGTCAAAATGAAGGGCAAAGAATCACAGAGGAGAGAGATTAATTAAAAGAAGGGGTCTAGAGAGATGGCTCAGCAGTTAAGAGCACTCACTGGCTGCTCTTGCAGAAGACCTGGGTTTGAATCCAAGGACCCACACAGTGGCTAACAACCATCTGTAATTCCAATTCCAAGGGATCCAACACCCTCTTCTGTCCTCTACGGTCACTGCACGACATGGGCATACTTACATACACGTAGGCATAACACTCATTCACATAAAATAAAAGCAAATAATTAATAATCAAAAGAAGGTCCTCAGGAAAGTTAGGATTTGAAAAAGAAGGTCACACTCAACTCATGAAAGTCTTGGAATATCATATTAAGTATTAGGACTTTATTCTCTATATAAAAGAGGACAATGTTCCCTATATTCAGCACATTGAATATTGCTATGAAAAACATTGATTAATTCAAATAAAGTCATCAAATTGCACTGGTATTCCCTAGCAACTGTGCCAAATCTTGTGGACTTGGTAGCTAATCACCTCTTTGTTTCTCTTCCTCCATAATCAGGATTATGGGAAAGGTTGGCTTTTTAATCCAGCCAAGAAGGAAAGTGTTCTGCTGATAATTAAATAACCTGTGCAGAAAAATGTCCTAAACCTCACAGGCATAAATTCATCCTTCATAGCAAGTAGCGCTTTAGCTTTGCCACGGTGTGCTGTTTTGTTTAATTGTATTTCTTTTGCGGAGCAGGCAGTTGGGATTATGTCCTTCAAATCAGCAAGAGCATTCATGATCTGGAACAAAGAATCCAGAAAGCAAAAGACAATGTGAAAGAGATTCAGAGCATCATGGAAACATGGGTGTCCCCAGTATTTAAGAGGAAAGAAGGGAAAAGAGAATGTGTTCTTTCCCTGGAGGATCAACATGACCGCATGGGGAAATATTACAGTCTCATCAGAGAATCTGGCCACAGGATTCATGCTCTTGTCCAGGTAGCAACCCATCTCTCAGATACAGTTCCAAGAAGGAAAAGCACCAAGAAGGGCATTTGAGTGCAAAAACGGGGTTTGGGAAATTGGAATAATCAACAGATGCCTTGTCTTCTGCAGGCGATGATAAGAGCTTGTACTGATAGCAACTAAACCGCTTAATAGATGATGGAACTGAAAGTCCCAGACTGGCATCAGTGTGTCAAAATTAACGCTGTCTCAATAGTGACATCGCGTAGTCAATCACATGACTTAAGTCTCACACCTAACCCCAAGGCACTAGAGGCTACAGCAGGACAGAGTCCTAAATTATCCACTGCAGTAACCATCATCCCCAACTTGCCCACACAGCCCCTGTGGCTCCGCAGCAGCATCCTTGTGAACTACCTCTAAAGAGTCTAGCGAGATTAAAGAGTAGCCATGGCACCCTGGCTGTCTTTCATCAGAAGAGGAAAGAATGCACAGCACTGCACTTAATACAGCAACGCTTTTTGTCCTGTGCTGTGGACAGGGCAGCCTCATGTCCCACCATCAGCAAATAAAGCTTCCCTATGAGCACTGGGAAGACTATAAATGGCCGCCAGATCCAACCCTACTGAAGCAGCCACAGGGCAGTCAGTGTCTGACAAGTTGACTGGGAAGACTATAAATGGCCGCCAGATCCAACCCTACTGAAGCAGCCACAGGGCAGTCAGTGTCTGACAAGTTGACTCATGTCAGAAGTCAGGACTAAATCACAGTCATTCTGTGGCCTGAAGCACAGTTAAAATATCCAGTCACAAATATAAAGATGACCAGATAATTGCCTAATTTTTGCCTTTAAAAGATAGAGTTCTTTGATTTGATTTTTTTTAACATCTACTGGTATCCTGTAATTTAATGGTTTATTACTTTTTTTTCTAGCCTCCCAGGTTACAAACTTAGGGTATTGATATTAGGCCTTTCTTCCTACTTACAGGACTTTGACAATATTCATTACCCCTTTCAGCAGTCTGTTACTTTCATGCCATGAAGTTAATCAGCCCCCTTTCATCGTCAGTTTCAAGTGTCTCTCTTGTATTACTTTGTTAACTTGGTGGCCATCTAGAAATGTGTTGTCTGACTTCCTCATATTCAGGGATTCTCTGGATGTCTTAATGGAACTGAAATCCAATTTAAATTCATTGTGGTCAGGTAGATACTCCGTAAGACTTCAAACATTTGGAATTAACTGAGACTTTTTCATACCCTAGAACAGTCTGACTGAACGTCTCTTGGTTTCTTGCCAACAATGCTTATGCTGCTGTTGTTGGATGGAGTGTTCTAGAAACAGATGATTTAAAGGGAACTGTGATCATGCTGTTTGGATCTTTTTGATGCTTTCTGGCCTTGTTTGTCTATTTGTTCAGTCAATTACTGTCAGTAGATTATTAACATTGATTTGCCTAGTGAATCCTTTAGTTCTGTCTAAATTTTCTAAAGGCATGCGCCACCACGCCTGGCCATTTTAAAAAGATTTATTTATTATTTTTATTTATGTGTGAGTTTATGTGCACTGTGTGAGTGCAGATGCCTGTGGAGGCCAGAAGAGGGTGTTAGATCCTTTGGAACTGGAGTTACAGGCAGTTGTGAGCTTCCTAATGTGGGTGCTAGGACTTGGGTCCTTGGCAAGAGCAGTATGCACTGTTAACTGCTGAGCCAACCCTCCAGCTTTGTGAAATTTTTGAATTTCATCTTGTAAGTCTGTGTTTTACAGTGTCAATTTTTTCATACTTTTACCTTCAACCTACTTATTTCATGTTCATATTTTTTCCCTTTACAATCAGTATGTAATAGAAACACATGTTTATCAGTCTAACAACTCTTCCTGTTAATTGGAACATTTGGATTTATATTGATATGGTGAAATTTAGTTCCACTATGCTCCTATTTCTTTTATTTTTTTCTTCATCTCCACTTTTCTGTGCCTATGTCTTTGCTGCTTTGTGTATAATTTTCAGCATCCTATGTTAACATCTCATTTGGTATTTCAGATTTTACCCTATTGTGATACATTTCTAGTGACTGTTCTAGGTTTCAATTTAGTTTTATCATGAGATATAGAAACCTTACAACTGTGTATAGTTCAACTTAACCTCTCACCCCTTGTGATGGTTAGTTTGGACTGTTGATTTGACACAAGGTAGAGTCACCTGGGAAGGGAATCTCAATGAGGAACTGTCTAGATTAGGTTGACCTGTGGGCATGCCTGTGTCCTTTTCTTATTGAGTTAATTGAGATGGGACGATCCACACTGCATATGGCACCTGTTCATGGGCTGGGCCCCTCTCTGAATGAAAAGGAGAGAGTAAGCTCAGTATTAGCATGCATGCATGCATGGCTGTCTGTTCTTGACTGTGCATTTTGTGACTAGCTGCTTCAAGTCCCTGAGCCACAGCGATGGATGGAGCACACCTCGGAGCAGTGAGCAACATGAGCCCTTTCTCCCTTAAGCTGCTTCTGCCTGGGTATTTTACCCACAATACAAAACAACACTAAGACATCCTCTTTTGTGCTATTATTATATGAAATATTAACATACTAAATATACTAACATATTTACATATTAACATATTAAATCTCATAATACACTGCTGTAAGTTTTGCATTAAAATTTTAAGAAAAAAAAGACATGGGGGCTGGAGAGATGACTCAGAGATTAAGAGCATTGGCTGCTCTTTCAGAGGACCTGAGTTCAAATCCCAGCATCCACATGACAGCTAACAACTATCCATAACACCAGTTCTAGGGGATCCAGTACCCTCTTCTGACCTCCACAGGCATTGCACGACATGGGTGCACTTACACACACATAAAATAAAAATGATGAATAAAATACTGTTTTTAAAAAGAACAAGACACGAAAGTAGAAGGGGGATTTACTGACGAGGAGACGGGGTCCAGAAAGAGGGAAGAGGAAGGAGAGAGGGTAACAGGAAGTGAATGAGATGAAGATACATTAGATGCAGGTATGAAATTGGCAGAGAATGAATAAAATTTTAAAAAGAAAAAGATATGAAAGTTCATCATGAATAACTAAATCATAAGTGACTTTATCCTCATTATAAAAATTATTTTTTTAATTTTTATAGAATTTTTGTGCATTTTATATATATAACACATCTTGATCATATTTAAACGCCTCCTCTCTTATCTGCATCCCTCATAGCTCCCCTGTCAGATTTCATAAATTATGGCATATATGAGTCAAGTTTGTGTCCCTAAATCTCCGTTGATGTTAGTTTATCCATGGGAGCCTGGTCAACCCATCTAGCATCACTTCGTTAAAGGAGACCAATTGGCCCTCACCTAGTAATGTTCAGTTGCCAATAGCTCCTTAGATAAGATTGGGGCTTCTTGTCCATTTCCTCACTTCTATGCTGGGTTTTTGTCTGGTATGAGTTTTCATGGGTCTTGTGCATGCTGTCACCATTGTCATAAGTTCATATGAGTAAGTTCTCAGTCGCTGGAAAACTGTTGCCTTGTGGTCATCCATCACCCGTGGCTCTTACAATCTTTCTGCCCCCTCTTTCACAATGGTCCCTGAGCCCTGGTGGCTGAGGTTTAATATAGGATTCCTATCCAGGGACACACACTCTGTAGTCTCTTATTCTTTACATTTTGATGAGTTGTGGCTTTCTGTGTTAATCACCATCTGTTGCATGAGGAAGCTTCACTGGTGAGAGTTGAGAGATGCATTTTTCTTCCCCTTATTCCACTATGTTCCATGAGCCTTAGGTGTAAAGGTTGGATTATAGATCTGTCATTTAAGGTTGGCCATCTCAAAGACACTTATTCTCTGTGTTTGACCAGTTATGGAACTCTGTAATAGTCTCTATGTGTTGTAAAAAGAAGCTTCTTTGATGACTGGTGAGAGATATACCTGTCTATAAATATAAGAATATACATTTAGCATACAGTAAGAAATTACATTTGTCTAGGGATATAACAGACATGAGTTTTTCTCTAGGATCTATGACCTCCCCAGCAGGTCTTGAGTCCAGTTAGATAGCTGACTACCCCCAAGATACAAATGCTACTACTGCACCAATAGTGAGAGTTTGAGGCTGTCATTACTGTGGTTATTACACAACTGAGTTGGATGATTGATTGATTTTCTCCCTTAGTAACTTGCATAGTATCCTCTGATACTATGGGAGCTAGTCTTCAAGAAGGAGGCTTCCAGGTCAGTTCCAGCTCCATTACTTACTCTAAGTCCTGTGTCCAAAGTATGTCCTGTCTTCAGCATTAGGGTCTTACCTTCAAGGTCTAGGAGGAAATCAAGGGCTGTGGCAATGATCTGTGTTGTTTTGGGAGTCTCTTGGACTATCTGACCAATAATTTGAAGGGAGGTTTCTCCTGTCTGACACTGTGTTTCTTGTATTTCTTGTGTTTCTTCTTCAGCTATACACATGCACTCATATACATATGTTGTATGTACATTTTTCAGTAGGCTTTTAAACTAATACATTTCCCTCCGGCTTTTCATACCACCTAAGCATTATTTATCTCACCTCTCTCTCCCCCTGTATAACATGTCTTTCTCCCTTCCCAGTTAAAGTACCCTCATTTCCCCTTTGATAACACTTGTCTCCTACTATCCCCCTCTTAAGTTCCTTCTTCCCCTCTCCCCCATGGTTCCTTGTATAACCTTCCCTCTTGTCTTCCCAGTTAAATACCTCTATTTTCTTCATTTCCCCTTTGGTAACACAGTCTCTTACTATACCCTCTCTCAAGCTTCTTCTTCTCCTTTACCCCCACGGTTCCTTTCCATTTTCCTGGCTCCTGTGGTTACATCAGGATATATACTCACATCTAAGAATTTGGAGCTAAGAGCCACAAATGAGAGAGAACATATGTCACTTGTTTTGCTGAGTCTGTGTTACTTCACTTAATATAACAGTTTCCAGTTCCATCCATTTACCTGCAAATTTCATGATTTCATTCTTCTTTACCCCTGAATAGAACTCCATTGTGTAAATGTA